TTTGGGTAGATTGCCCTAGGAGAACATTGCTGAGGTGTATGTCAGATAATGTTTTGCCTATGTTTTCTTCTAAGAGGTTTATAGCGTCTTGCTTTATGTTTAAGTCTTTAAGCCATTTTGAGTTTGTTTCTTTTTGTTTTTTTGCGACTCTATTGTATGCTTTTGATTTGTGGTTACCTTATTTTTCAAGTACGTCAACCCTATTACTTTATCTATTTCCTTTAGACTGGTAGTCATGTTGGCACCAACATCCTGAGAATAATTAAGAAAAAGAAAGAGAAAAAAAAAATCTGTATTTTGCTCCCCTCTCCCATTCCCATCTTCTTTAAATTTTGATGTCCTTTTTCTCTTTTACATCATCACGTTTATTCTCTTGTAACTTGTTACTGCATTTTCAACTATGGTTTTCCCATTTCCATAGCATCCTGCTTCCTTTCTATTCAGAATAGAGCCTTTTAATGTTTCTGTTAGATTCAATATTGCTGAGCTCTTTTAGTTTTTGCTCTTCTGTGAAATCCTTTGTCTCTCCTTCTACCCTGAATGATAGTCTTGCCAGATAATATCCTAGGTTGCAGCTTTTCTCATTCAGGACTTTGGCTATATCTTGCCACTCCCTTCTGGCCATCAGTGTTTGTGTAGAGAAGTCAGCTGAAAGCCTTATGGGGATTCCTCATAACCAACTCTTTGTTTTTCTCTTGCTGCCTTTAGAATCATTTCTTTATCTTTAACCTTGGCCATCTTAATTATAATATGTCTTGGTGTAGGTCATTTTGAGTTCTTGTTTGAGACCCTTGTGGTCCTGTACGTGGATATCTGCTTCTTTCTTTAGATTTCAACAATTTTTATCATGTTTTCTTCCAATACCTTTTAAATCCAGTTTGCTCTTTCTTCTCTTTCTGGGGCCCCTGTTATGCATAGGTTTGCATACTTTATATTATCCCATAGGTCCCATATATTGCTTTCATTGGTTTTTGCTTTTCTGTCTGCTGTTCGGATTGGTGAGTTCTGTTATCCTGTGTTCTGAGTCACTTACTCGTTCCTCTGCTTTATCTAATCTGCTTTTGACTGCATTTAGCCCAGCTCTTCTATCAGCCATTGAGTTTCCTGTTTTTAATTGGCTCCTCTTTATAGTTTGTATTTCCTTTTCATAGTATTCTCTGTCTCTTATTCATAGTCTCTCTTACTTCCTTCAGCGTTTTTAATTCCCCCTTTTTGAAGTCAGGATCTAGTAGATTGCTGAGGCCTATCTCATCGTTCTTCCCTTCAGGGGACTTCTCTTGTTCTTTAATTGGCAGTGGTTCCTCTTCTTCATTTTACTTGTATTTCTCTGGCTCTGTGCCTTGAGAAGTGTCAGTTATCTACTGTGGTCTTGAAGGACTGTTTTAGTTTTTGTTGTTTTTCATTTAAAGTGGGAGTGTTCCTGTGTAGACCGTGCCTCTGATAATTTTGCTGTGAGGGCTGTTCCTAGTGTACGATTGCCGTGTCTCTTGTGTGTGTGTTGGCTGCTGTCCCTTTGCTTGTGGGTGTGTTTGGTGTTTTGATGATCAGAGTTTACCCTGATGGTCGTTGTTGAGCATGGCCTCCTTCTTTGTTCTGTGGTTGTCACAACCTTGCCAGGGGCTGAGTCTGCTCCCCTGTTGCTGGAGTAGAGGCTGCTAGGCCCATTTCTGAGCTGTGGTGTGTGGCAGGCATGGTTGGAGCACTTCAGCTGGGGAGAAGGGTTGTTGAGTGCACTTCCACAGGAGATAGCCACTGGGACGTGCCTTCTGTGGTGGTGTCTGTCACTTTTTATACGGGCTTACAAAGTACTCTTTGTTCCTGCCTTAGCTGTGGGAATGTCGGCCCCCTGCTTTGGTGTCCCCCATGTTCTGGGTCCCAGGAACCACCAGTGCAGATCTGCCAGTGTCAGGTGCTAGGACCCACAGTAGCAAGCGTGCAGGCACACACCTGAATCTGCAGTGTGCCGCGGGGTCAGCACAGATGCCAGCCCCACCACGTACATACAGTAAGCCAGCCTCTTGTAAATCCCCGCACTCGCCCCTGCCACGTGCCAGAGCTCCACTCAGTGCCTGTTAGTCTGAGAGGCCTGGGTCCACAAAGGGTCCAGAGAGAGCACATCTGCCCTCTCTGCTGGGAGCTGTAAACAAATCTCAGTCCTGTCGGTGAAGCTGCCGGGCCCCCGCCTCTGTGCAGTGGGCCTCAGCCCTCTGCTTGGGGGCCCCACCAGTCTCCAGCAGCCAGTTCCAGCTTGTCCCTGCCGGCTCACGTCTAGGGCTGGGGATCGTGCCAGTGTCCCTTAGTTCTGTCCACCAGGCAGCTGCCACTTTGTCCTCTGAGCCTCAGAAGCTCCACTTCTGTCCCTGCTGACCACCTGGCTGGAGAGGGGGTGTCCCTGCATCAGCGCGCCTGTCTTCCTGTGCCACTCCATCCTTGCAGCGCTGGTCCTGCACCGAAATTTTCTTTTCCTTTTTTCTTCCCCCGCTCCAGATTTTGTGAGGATCCTCCTATATTTTGAAGCGAGATACACTGCCCATGTTCAGTAGGTGTTCTTTGCGATTCATTGGTTTTGTGGATGTAATTCTGGGTGTATTTGTGGGAGAGGGCAAGCTTTGAGTCTCTCTACTCTACCATCTTGACACCTCTTCTAATTTTTGCTTTCTGGTATTTTGTTGTTAGTTACAGAAGTGCAACAGATTTCTTTGTATTAATTTTGTATCCTGCAACTTTACTGAATTCATGGATGAGCTCTTGTAATTTTCTGTTTGTGTCTTTCATATTTTCTATATAAGTATCGTATCATCTGCAAACAGTCACAGTTTTATTACTTCATTTCCAATTTGGATTCCTTTCATTTCTTTCTGTTCTCCAACTGCTGTGGCCAGGAACTCCAAAACTGTGTTGAATAAAAGTGGTGATAGAGGGCATCCTTGTCTTGTTCCTCATCTTAGAGGAAATGCTTTCAGGTTTTCACTGTTGAGTATGATGTTAGCTTTGGTTTGTCGTATATGGCTTTTATTATGTTGAGGTATGTCCTGTCTATGCCCACTTTCTGAAGAGTTTTTATCACAAATAAATGTTGAATTTTGTCATACGCCTTTCTGCATCTATTGA